TTGGGGACCAGCTCGGTCATGAAGGAGTTGCCCTCCGGCCCGGGGTACAGTATCTGAGGAGAGTTGTCATTCACATCCGATATGAACACACTGACGGTCACGTTGCTGCTCAGCGGAGGAGAACCGTTGTCTCTGCCCATCACGTGGACTTTAAAACTCCTGAACTGTTCATAATCAAACGACCTCACAGCGTGGATCACCCCCGTGTCTCCGTTAACAGACACATAGGACGACACCGGGGCACCGTTCACCTCACCGGGTAACAGAGAATAAATCACTGTACCGTTTTGTCTCCAGTCGGGGTCTCGAGCACTAACGGAACATAAAGTGGAGCCAGGTTTGTTATTTTCACTCACATATGCGCTGTACGACTGTTCCTCAAACACAGGTGGGTTGTCGTTGATGTCTGCTACAGATAACTCAACACTTTTAGAGGAGGACAGAGGTGGAGAGCCCTCGTCACTGGCAGTGATTGTAATGTTGTAATCAGACACTACTTCACGGTCCAGTTGTCCTGTGGTCACCAGAGAATAATAGTTTTTAATAGAAGGAACCAACTTAAAAGGGACGTTTTGCTGAATGGAGCAGCGGACCTGTCTGTTATTCTCAGAGTCTCTATCCTGCACGTTAATGATGCCCACCTCTGTACCAGGTGGGATGTCCTCAGGTATGGGGTTAGTCAGTGATTTCAAATCTACTACAGGAGCGTTGTCATTCACATCAGTGACAGAAATTATTGCTTTAGCATAAGATGACAGCCCTAATCCATCTTTTGCTTTAAGACGTATTTCAAATGAAGTGGTGGCTTCATAGTCAACAGAGCCAATAACACGTATATCCCCCACCTTACGGTCAATACTAAATATCTTCTTCACATCTTCTGTAACATGTCCGAATTCATAAGTCACGTCTCCATTGACTCCCTCGTCTGCATCAGTAGCGCTCACTGTGACCACTATAGTATCTACAGGAGAATTTTCAGGCAGACTGGCTTTATAAACGGCCTGGCTGAACACTGGGGCGTTATCATTAGCATCCAGCACAGTGACGTGTATGACTACAGTACCTGATCTCTGAGGAGAGCCACCATCTAGAGCTGTAAGAAGCAAATTGAGCTCTTGCTGTTTTTCTCGATCGAGCTCTTTATCCAGAACAAGCTCTATTGTGTTTCCATCAGCAGCCAAAATGAAATTATCATTCTTCTTAAGGCTGTACTGCTGAACTGAATTCTGTCCTACATCCGCATCGTGTGCCTCCTCGATCACAAAACGAGCTCCCCTGCCTGCCAACTCGTGAATTTCAATATTTATCAAATCATCCTTAAATTCAGGCGAGTTATCATTAATATCTTGAACGTGCAGACTGATCCGATGAAGCTCGAGAGGATTCTCCAGCACAAGCTCGTGTTTCAGGATGCACGAAGCCTTTTCACCACAGAGCCCCTCTCGATCAATCCTGTCGGCAACAATCAACTCTCCGTTATTCAGGTTTATGTCACAGTAACGTTTATCAGTCCCGTCGGTGTCGATACGGGCTCTTCTGTTAGACAGTGCGCTCGTCTGCAGCCCGAGATCCTTGGCCATATTTCCAATAACTGATCCTCGTTTCATCTCCTCCGGAAGCGAATAGCTCAGATCTCCATATGCGCCATGCAGAAAAAGCAGGAGGAAAGAGAAGCCGCAAGCGACCATTTTAAAATCCATAATCACGGATGAATTCCTAATATGTCTCAGGATCGAAGCAACAAACACACTTCAACCACATAACACGGATAGAAACTGCAATTCAGCGTGATTGTGTTTCACGTATCTAGACCACGCAATGGGCGTACAAGAACGTCTGTCCACAAAGGACAGAGGATATAAACCATTCTAAGGCTGGTGAATAGCGACACCGTGAGTTCAACAATAACATTATTTTAACATTTCAAATGAAACACTGATAAATCGGTTGCAGCCTAAAAAACTTTGTCCACCAGTGCTCTAAATAAAACAAAAGATAAATTTACTTCGGCATTTACAACTATAGTAACCCACAGCCGCATCCAAAAAGAGACCAGCTGCAGCAAAAAATACTGTGCATTTAGTTAAATGCATCAAAGACAGACTCTCATAAAGGTGTGAAGACAGCATGTATGAGAATGGGCTCAGGTGGTCTTTAAACTGTCAGAGTCAACACACTTCACTGGTACAAAATGTAATGAAATATGGTATTGAATAGCCATCAGTATGTAAAATAATATTTATCAGATACAACGTATGAAAACGACTATAATTATCTTAGTTTGTACTTGCACCTCAGCCATAAATCTTGATATCAATCATCTGATAATCCCCTAAAGAGGGGTATTGAGCTTTTTTAATTATTTATTTATTTTCAATTCATTCAGAGGGATATTTCTGGAAGCAGTGGACCGGGTGCCATTCCTTCTTTACTGTATGTGGCCCGGTGAAAGATGTCAAACTTAAAGGCTGCAGTCACAATAACCTGATGTGTCCTTCAGATGTGGGATCCCAGACTGTCAACAGGTTGTACTTTCTTTAAAGTCAGCTTGCTGTCTAAATGTACTTAAGCATGGGCACGACTGTAGAGAGCTGCTGAAAAAACATGCGTGTTGCAATTTCTACTCAATTAAACAACACATCAATCATCATTGTCATCATATTGCAAGGTTGTACAAGTTCTGAACACTATTGTCTCCAGTGGGATTAAGATAGTATCTCTCATAGAGGTGCATGTGGTTGTAGTCCTATCTAAAGATAAACAAATAGAATAATGATGTGTATTATGAAGATGCTGTTTGACCACGGCATAAATTAAATGTATGTGAACTAAACCTATGTCTGCAGGCTCTTGAAATTCTGACAACACCAACTTAGTAACCACATTCAGTAGAAAGTAGGGCTGTCTTTGACCCCACTTGGCCTGCCATCTTGGCATCCTCAGTTGTAGAATGAAAACTCATGTTGACAGATGTTTAATTTTCCAATTCCAGATAGAGAGAGAAACATGTATTATGTTTACAAACTGAAAGTTTGTTTAAATACTGAATAAGAAATCACATCTATTACCTCCGTATCGTAAGACAAAGCACTGCCAATAATGTAAAGAAAAGTCAATGCAAAAATCAGTGAGTCAGGAGACCTGCTGTGGGGACACACCACTCTACCAGCTCTATACAACTACAGAGTGATACAAAACTGCCAGTCTACAAAGATTTTGGTGGTTTGTAGTCACTTAAGTTATATAATTATACATATCTAAATAAGGTGATAATTAAATAGGCTCGGCTTTCACCTCACAGTACAACACATTCTCAGAAATGAAAAAAGTCACCATTCAAAAAGCAACAGAAAATAGATACAGGATAATGTCTGACTGTCAGCATCTTCTCAAGAACACAACTAACAAAAAGGCATCATGTAATGAAGGATTAACTGAGTACAAGCACCAAATATATCCCCATAGGACAGCCAAGTCATTGAAACTGACAAACTGCACATACAAACAACTCATTCAACTTTCTCTACATTTAATTTCATCTTAAGCTACATGGAAGATGTCAGTACACACAGACACAGCAGCTCTTGTTGTTGTAATTTCGTTAAGCTGTGGTCAAATCAGGCAGTAATCAAACACAACAGAGCTTAAACAAGAGAGGCCTGTTTAGCATACAAGTAAGAAGGAAAGTGGATTGACTTTATATGTAAAGACCAATATTATTCAGGTAGTGTCTTCCACCTGGGGTGTATATGCCACTATTACACAACAACAGCATGTGTGAGTAGGTTTTCAGTCATCCAACTCGCGATATACAGACTGCCAGATACCAACACAGAATATTTCCGTCCATCACTAGAAGGGAAATTGATCAACAAAGTCATCTATTGTAAATTACGTATCCAGGCAAATGCAGCCACAGAATTCATTTTTGTCTTACACACACTGACCACTTGATATCTTATTACTAAGACTCATACACATTACACAATGTAAACTGCTATACAGCTGATAAATGATACATTATTTTTGTGTTGCGACAAGAGCATCTGTTTCTGTAAAGATTTCAGGTCACCAAAGGCATTTGTATTCACTTTTCTGAGATATAGTTTGAAACAGCATTTGTATTATTTTAATGCTCATGTTATTAAAAAATAGACTACACACTGGAAGAATGTCACTGTGTCATATTCTATGCAGGCAGAAAACAACAGGTCAATGATGAATAATCAGCCCCAACAAAGTGTGTTTGGGTCATACAGAAGCTTCAAAACAATCATGATATCCATCACTATCTTTACTTGAACAACCTGTGAATACCGAGAAGTGTACTTCAATATAAGATATTATGACTTTTCCCAGCAATTATAAGACTCAAATAACATCTCAGGAGTGTGCTAATGGTTTAAATAAAGTACGTTATGAAGAGAGGAGGCTAATCAGTGACTATGAAAGGCATTCAGTTTGTTATTGACAATAACACTAGGATGATATGAAACAGAAGTTTGAAGATAGATTGAAAGAATAAATTTTCAGACACACGTTAAATAGAATGTTTTTCACTAGGCTACATCAATACAGAAAATACCTTAAAGCAATCAAAATGAAACATTTAAAGGAAAGCAGTTTTAGAAATTACAAAGAAAACACACACACACACACACACACACACACACACACACACACACATATATTACTTAGGCTGCAAACTCAGATCTGGCCAGGGACTGCGGATGAAAACTAGCATTTTGGCTAATTCTGGTATATTTACAGTTCACTGCTCATTAATATGCATTGTCCCTGATAAATAAACAAATAAATGAACACACACACATGCAATTCATTTAGACAGAAAAACTATATAGAACAACTGCACAAGGACAAAGATGGCCTTCACTTTGAAAACGTTGACGGAAATCTATTTATGTAATTAAACCTTTCAGAGTAGCTTAATGCATGTTTGAGTTAACGTATTTGAATGGATGAAATTTGATGTCAGACTATAAACGCGGGTTGAATAGTCTAAAACGCATCCCTACCTCAGGAGAGCCATCACTATCTCCAAAGGCATCAGCAAAGTCTGATGGACTTTTCCTCAGAGTCTGGTCAGCAGGCAGTGTGTTGTCATTGTAAGATGACACGAACTTAAAGTCACTGGTTCTTGAACCTGTTGTCAGGTAGGCGTCATAATTGTAAGTGCTGCGTAAAGTTCCTGTGCCGTCAACATCTGCGTAATTAGGAGGGAGATAAGCGCTGGGGATGGCAACTGCTCCATCAAACAACAGTCTGGGCTTTCTCCTGCGACAAAACCTCACACCCAGGATGATGATGATGAAGGTCAGGAAAAACGTCGACACAGACACCAGCGCGATGATCAGATAAGACGTCAGTTTGGAATTCTTCTCATCATAAGAAATGTCCTTCAGTTCTGGCACCTCAGCCAAGTTATCAGAAATCAGTAAATACATGGAACAGGTGGCAGACAGAGAGGGCTGTCCGTTATCTTTCACTGACACAATCAGGTTCTGTTTCATGCTGTCAGACTCGGAAATGTCCCGCTGTGTCCTGATCTCTCCGCTGTGGACACCAATAGTGAAAAGGCCCGGATCTGTGGATTTCACTATATCATAGGACAGCCAGGCGTTCTGTCCGGAGTCCGCGTCCACCGCTATCACTTTGGACACCAGAGAGCCTCCGTGTGCAGCTTTGGGGACCAGCTCGGTCATGAAGGAGTTGCCCTCCGGCCCGGGGTACAGTATCTGAGGAGAGTTGTCATTCACATCCGATATGAACACACTGACGGTCACGTTGCTGCTCAGCGGAGGAGAACCGTTGTCTCTGCCCATCACGTGGACTTTAAAACTCCTCAACTGTTCATAATCAAACGACCTCACAGCGTGGATCACCCCCGTGTCTCCGTTAACAGACACATAGGACGACACCGGGGCACCGTTCACCTCACCGGGTAACAGAGAATAAATCACTGTACCGTTTTGTCTCCAGTCGGGGTCTCGAGCACTAACGGAACATAAAGTGGAGCCAGGTTTGTTATTTTCACTCACATATGCGCTGTACGACTGTTTCTCAAACACAGGTGGGTTGTCGTTGATGTCTGCTACAGATAACTCAACACTTTTAGAGGAGGACAGAGGTGGAGAGCCCTCGTCACTGGCAGTGATTGTAATGTTGTAATCAGACACTACTTCACGGTCCAGTTGTCCTGTGGTCACCAGAGAATAATAGTTTTTAATAGAAGGAACCAACTTAAAAGGAGCGTTTTGTTGAATGGAGCAGCGGACCTGTCTGTTATTCTCAGAGTCTCTATCCTGCACGTTAATGATGCCCACCTCTGTACCAGGTGACACATTCTCAGGTATGGGGTTAGTCAATGATTTCAGGTATATGACTGGAGCATTATCATTCATATCAGTAACATCTATTATAACTTTAGCATAAGAGGTTAAACCTAAACCATCTTTAGCTTTTATTCTCATTTCAAAAGAACTCATTTTCTCAAAGTCAATCACTCCAGTTACTTTAATTTCTCCAGTTTTAGGATCGATTGAGAAAACATTTATGTCATCATCTGATACGTGACCAAAATCATATGTCACATCTCCATTGACTCCTTCATCTGCGTCAGTTGCACTAACAGTAATCACTATGGTATCTGGAGGAGAGTTTTCAGGCAGACTGGCTTTATAAACGGCCTGGCTGAACACTGGGGCGTTATCATTAGCATCCAGCACAGTGACGTGTATCACTACAGTACCTGATCTCTGAGGAGAGCCACCATCTAAAGCGGTCAGAAGCAAATTAATCTCCTTTTGCTTTTCGCGATCAAGTTTATTCTCCAACACTAGTTCGACCTTGTTGCTGTCAACAGCGAGAATAAAGTTCTCGTTCTTTTCTAGGCTGTATCTTTGAACAGCATTTTGACCTATATCTGCGTCATGGGCCTCCTCGATAGAGAAACGGTTACCCTTTTCAGCAGATTCGCTTATTTCCATTTCAATCAGATTATCTTTGAATTGCGGCAAGTTGTCGTTCACATCTTGAATATGAAGACTTAGTCGATGAAGCTGCAGAGGATTTTCTAACACTAAATCAACCTTCACAACACACGACGGTTTCTTGCCACAAAGGCTTTCTCTGTCAATTCTCTCCGATGTGACCAAATTTCCAGTACTCAGATTAATATCACAGTACTGCTTACTTGTTTCCTCAAAATCCACACGGGCCTTTCGGGAAGATAATGTCCTCAGATCAAGACCGAGATCTTTGGCTATATGTCCAATAACAGACTCGCGTTTCATCTCTTCTGGGATAGAATAACTCAGGTCTCCATTAACGAGGTGCAGCGTTACAATGAAGGAAGCAAAGCAGAGGATGGGACGAAGCGGTGGAAATCCTTTGTCTCCCATCCTGACACAAAAAGACGTCCTCAGCTTGTACAACTAATAACTCCCACTGCGAAATAATAAAAACCGTCTAAAAACACCAAACGATCCAACACATCAGAGCAATGTACGCAATACAATATGTTCGGATATGCAACCGTTTGTCTGGAATAATCTGCAGCTGATATCCATATAGTAGTAGGTGGAGTGGTGAGAGCCTGTTATCCGTCAGCCAACAGCGACACCATGAGTAACTTTTAGTCGCAACTCAAAGAGGTAATAAAATAATGCCCCCAAAGTCACACACAACATCAAAATCATATGCACACACTTCGAAATGGAATTTGCATGTACGATATATCTTTTATTTTCTTAAAAAGACACTCGTGGGTCTCCTTCCAGCCCCGTTGTAGAATGAGTTCTAAGCAGCGGGATAGGTTCGAATCCAACCTGCGGACCCTTGCTGCATGTCATTACCTTTCTCTCTCGCCCATTTCCTGTCACTCTCCAGCGGCTCTAAGGCAAACGCCCTAAAATACAATCTAAAATAACGAAACAAGCTATCTATTCATTGTAATTGGCTCAGCTTTGGAGATAGGTGTTGCTGACACCCGTAACGCCGAACTCTATATTATCTTTAATTTAGAACTCTAAAAGCTCCCAAACAGAGGAAAAATGAATCCGACTGTTTGAGCCCCTGAAAGAAAAGACCAGCAAAATTTGAGTACAACACTGTAACATTTAATATCACTGAAAACATATTGTTGGGTAACACTTTCTTTGGATATTCACCTATAAATACTTTAGAAAGTATTTGTAACATTTCAGCAGCTAATTGGTTGAGAATCAACAATTTACACCGTTTTGCTTCATTCTGTAGATGTTAAACATATATTCTATGCAATATAGGCCGATATAATAATTCAGAATCATTTTTACATATTGTCAGAATAATTCAGGTGGAGTGGAATTATTCACTGAACCTATGTAGCACAGGTTCAGTGAATAATAGTTCAAGTTCAACAAAATGTCCCCGAGAATATGTAATGAACTGTAGCATATACTTTATAATCAGTTAAATATAGAGAAAAGCAAAACAGTTGAATTGTGTAATCTAAAATTATAATCTGTGTTAAAATGTTACAGACACTCTATCAACTACCTGTATGCAGACTATTCAAATAAAGTGTAAACTATTATTGTAATAAAAACTGTGGTTGCGCGGTCTCAATCTATGTCAAGCAATTACATAATTTATAACAATCAGAATTCCTCATTGGATATAAAACCAAATCATAATTATTATCATCAACAACATTATCATTGAAATTCAGACACCATGGCGGAGGAAAAAACTACATCTTCAGTTGCAGTGGTGCCTAAGGGCTTGAGCAATGTTTCAGCACCATGGACAGATACCGTCATATTTGGCAAGACATTGAACTCTGTCTCCAGCCAGTGTTCTTAAACTGTAATTTTGTAACAACGAAAACACTGTCCTTTACTTCGACCTGAACCTTCAGCCACCTACCCCTCGGTTGACTCAGAAATAGGAGCTTTATCTCGATTACTTGCTGACGGTAAGTGAGAATCAATGGCACGTGCTGAAAAGAGGTTATAAAGCTAAAGATGTAAACGTAAGAACCTCTAACGCCCACGAAAAATTGTGGATTGAAAAAATAATTCTGTGACAGCTTTACTCGTGAGAACATTTTACTGGTAAAAACGTTCTATTAACTGTTGTTTCTGCAGGCAAAGATAAGGTTGAAGTAACTACTTGGTGGCGACAGATTGTTATTCAAGCAAATCGCCCTCACCTTACATAATTCACAAACAGCAGGATTATGAAATCAATAAAATGAATTTCATGATGAAAATTAACTATTCATATCCACATTCACACTTCATCTCCTGAGAGAGTTGACAGCTGTGTAGACATGAACGAAAAATGAAAAATAAAAAACACCTCGAGGCAGACACGAAGTAAAGGGTCCTTCTATGTTTAAAAAAAGAAAGAAAGAAAGAAAGCCTATGAAATCACTTTTCAGCGTAATCCAAAATATACGCAGTGACTACAGAAATGAAAGATCAATCTTAATGCAAACACTTCATTTGGACGACCACACAATCACTTTTAAATTTCGAGTACAAAAACATATGCTGCAGGCAAAAAGACAAAGGAAGGATTAATTTCTTTAAAGCCCAACATACAATGTGAAAATGTAACTACTTTAAACAGTTCCTACCTCTGCAGACGGCTCCAAGTCCTCGAACGCATCAGCAAAGTCTGACGGACTTTTCCTCAGAGTCTGGTCAGCAGGCAGTGTGTTGTCATTGTAAGATGACACGAACTTAAAGTCACTGGTTCTTGAACCTGTTGTCAGGTAGGCGTCATAATTGTAAGTGCTGCGTAAAGTTCCTGTGCCGTCAACATCTGCGTAATTAGGAGGGAGATAAGCGCTGGGGATGGCAACTGCTCCATCAAACAACAGTCTGGGCTTTCTCCTGCGACAAAACCTCACACCCAGGATGATGATGATGAAGGTCAGGAAAAACGTCGACACAGACACCAGCGCGATGATCAGATAAGACGTCAGTTTGGAATTCTTCTCATCATAAGAAATGTCCTTCAGTTCTGGCACCTCAGCCAAGTTATCAGAAATCAGTAAATACATGGAACAGGTGGCAGACAGAGAGGGCTGTCCGTTATCTTTCACTGACACAATCAGGTTCTGTTTCATGCTGTCAGACTCGGAAATGTCCCGCTGTGTCCTGATCTCTCCGCTGTGGACACCAATAGTGAAAAGGCCCGGATCTGTGGATTTCACTATATCATAGGACAGCCAGGCGTTCTGTCCGGAGTCCGCGTCCACCGCTATCACTTTGGACACCAGAGAGCCTCCGTGTGCAGCTTTGGGGACCAGCTCGGTCATGAAGGAGTTGCCCTCCGGCCCGGGGTACAGTATCTGAGGAGAGTTGTCATTCACATCCGATATGAACACACTGACGGTCACGTTGCTGCTCAGCGGAGGAGAACCGTTGTCTCTGCCCATCACGTGGACTTTAAAACTCCTGAACTGTTCATAATCAAACGACCTCACAGCGTGGATCACCCCCGTGTCTCCGTTAACAGACACATAGGACGACACCGGGGCACCGTTCACCTCACCGGGTAACAGAGAATAAATCACTGTACCGTTTTGTCTCCAGTCGGGGTCTCGAGCACTAACGGAACATAAAGTGGAGCCAGGTTTGTTATTTTCACTCACATATGCGCTGTACGACTGTTCCTCAAACACAGGTGGGTTGTCGTTGATGTCTGCTACAGATAACTCAACACTTTTAGAGGAGGACAGAGGTGGAGAGCCCTCGTCACTGGCAGTGATTGTAATGTTGTAATCAGACACTACTTCACGGTCCAGTTGTCCTGTGGTCACCAGAGAATAATAGTTTTTAATAGAAGGAACCAACTTAAAAGGGACGTTTTGCTGAATGGAGCAGCGGACCTGTCTGTTATTCTCAGAGTCTCTATCCTGCACGTTAATGATGCCCACCTCTGTACCAGGTGGGATGTCCTCAGGTATGGGGTTAGTCAGTGATTTCAAATCTACTACAGGAGCGTTGTCATTCACATCAGTGACAGAAATTATTGCTTTAGCATAAGATGACAGCCCTAATCCATCTTTTGCTTTAAGACGTATTTCAAATGAAGTGGTGGCTTCATAGTCAACAGAGCCAATAACACGTATATCCCCCACCTTACGGTCAATACTAAATATCTTCTTCACATCTTCTGTAACATGTCCGAATTCATAAGTCACGTCTCCATTGACTCCCTCGTCTGCATCAGTAGCGCTCACTGTGACCACTATAGTATCTACAGGAGAATTTTCAGGCAGACTGGCTTTATAAACGGCCTGGCTGAACACTGGGGCGTTATCATTAGCATCCAGCACAGTGACGTGTATGACTACAGTACCTGATCTCTGAGGAGAGCCACCATCTAGAGCTGTAAGAAGCAAATTGAGCTCTTGCTGTTTTTCTCGATCGAGCTCTTTATCCAGAACAAGCTCTATTGTGTTTCCATCAGCAGCCAAAATGAAATTATCATTCTTCTTAAGGCTGTACTGCTGAACTGAATTCTGTCCTACATCCGCATCGTGTGCCTCCTCGATCACAAAACGAGCTCCCCTGACTGCCGACTCTCGGATTTCTATATTTATCAATTCTTCCTTAAACTGAGGCGAGTTATCATTAATATCTTGAACGTGCAGACTGATCCGATGGAGCTCGAGAGGATTCTCCAGCACCAGCTCGTGTTTTAGGATGCACGAAGCCTTTTCTCCACAGAGCCCCTCTCGATCAATCCTGTCGGCAACAATCAACTCTCCGTTATTCAGGTTTATGTCACAGTAACGTTTATCAGTTTCATCGGTGTCGATACGGGCTCTTCTGTTAGACAGTGCGCTCGTCTGCAGCCCGAGATCCTTGGCCATATTTCCAATAACTGATCCTCGTTTCATCTCCTCCGGAAACGAATAGCTCAGATCTGCATATGCGCCATGCAGAAAAAGCAGGAGGAAAGAGAAACCGCAAGCGATCATATTACAATCCATAATCACGGATGAATTCCTAATATGTCTCAGGATCGAAGCAACAAACACACTTCAACCACATAACACGAATAGTAACTGCAGCTCAGCGCGAATGTGTTTCACTTATCTAGACCACGCAATGGGCGTACAAGAACGTCTGTCCACAAAGGACAGAGGATATAAACCATTCTAAGGCTGGTGAATAGCGACACCGTGAGTAAAGTTCATAAATAACATTGATTTAAAAGTTCAAATGAAACACTGATAAATTGATTGCAGCCTATATAACTTTGTCCACCAGTGCTCTAAATAAAACATAACATACATTTACCTTGGTGTTTACAACATTTACAACTACAGTAACCCACAACCATATCCAATAAGATACCAGCTGCAGTAAGAACTGCTGTGCATTTAGTTTAATGCATCAAAGACAGACTCTCACTGAGGTCTGAGGACAGCATGTACGAGCATGGGCTCAGGTGGTCTTTAAATTGTCAGAGTCAACACACATCAGTGGCATTTGTAGGGAAATTAATCTTTGTCAGATACAAGGATATGAAAAAGACTAATTGTCTTAATTTGTGACTAAATCTCAGCCATAAATCTTGATATCAATCATCTGATAATCATATAAAGGGGGTTACTGAGTTGTTGATTTTTTGTTTGTTTGTTTTTCTGCAAGCAGTAGACCAGCTGTCTATCCAACTTCCCTGAATGCGGCCTGGTGAAAGATGTAAAAGGTAAAGGCTGCAGTCACAATAACCCTGATGTGTACTTCAGGTGCGATCCAAGACTTTCACCAGGTTGTACTTTCTTTAAAGCTAGCTTGTAAGCCTCATGTAAGCCTGGGCATGACTGTAGAGATTTGCTGGGAAAAAAAGAAGAAAAAAACATGTGCCTGTTTGCAATTCAAATTATGATTGCACCATACTTCAATTATCATTGTCATCATATTGCAAAGTTGTACAAGTTCTGAACACTATTGTCCCCAGTGGGATTACGATAGTATTTCTCATAGAGGTGCACATCAGTGGGGTTATTTGTTTTTTTGTTGTTTCTATATTTTTAGGTTTCAGCCCTAAGATAAACTAAAAGAATAATGGCATGTATTGTTGTAAACATTTTGTTTGACCACAGCATATGTTAAATGTATGTGAACTAAACCCATGTCTGTAGGCTCTTGAGATTCTGACATCACCAAGTTAGTAACTACATCCAGTAGAAAGTAGGGCTGTCTTTGACCCCACTTGGCCTGACTTCCTACAATCATCTGCAACTCCTGTTGACAAATCATTCAATTTTCAAACTCCAGAAAGAGACAGAAACATGCATTGTGTTTACAGACAGTAAGTTTGTTTAAATACTGAATAACAAGCCACATCTATTACCTCTGTATCTTAAGACAAAGCTCTGCAAATAATAAAGAGAAAACTCAATGCAAAATCACTAAGTCAGGAGACCTGCTGTGGGGAAACACCTCTCTGTAGACTGGGAGTGTTGTATCACTCTGTAGTTATACAGAGCTGGCGAAGCTTGTGGTGGTTTGGTTACTAAAGTTATATAATCATACATCTCTACAAAAGGTAAAAATGAAATAGGCTCAGCTTTCACCTCTCAGCACAACACATTCTCAAAAAGGAAAAAAAAAAAATCACCATTCAAAAAGGGACAGGAACGATATACAGGATACTGTCTGACTATCAGCATCTTCTCAAGATCACAACTAATGTGGTGAAAGACTAAATAAGTACAAGCACCAAATATATCCCCATAGGGCAGCCAAGTCATTGAAACTGACAAACTGCACATACAAACAACTCATTCAACTTTCTCTACATTTACTTCTATCTTAAGTGTCATGGAAGATGGCAGCACACACAGACACAGCAACTCTTGTCGTTGTAATTGCGTTATGCTTGCATATTAACAATAAAGTTCTTGAAATGTAAAGCTTGTGATGAAATCAGACAGTAATCAAACACAGCAAAGCTCAAACAAGAGAGGCCTGTTTAGCATACAAGTTTAAGAATGAAAGTGGACTGACTTTAAATGTAAAACCAACATTATTCAGGCAGTGTCTTCCATCTGAGGTGTATGTGCCACTGTTACACAAAAGCAGCATGTGTGAGTAGGTTTTCAGTCATCCAGCTCATGATATACAGACTGTCAGATACCAGCACAACATATTTCCTTCAATCACCAGAGGAGACATGATCAACAAAGTCATCTATTGGAAATTACATATCCTGGCAAATGTGGCCACAGAATTAATTTTTGTCTTACACACTGACCATATAATATCTTATTACTAAGACTCAGTTACACACTGTACACTGCTATACAGCTGATAAATAATATATTATTTTTATGTTGCTACAAAAACAGTTGTTTCTGTCACGATTTCTGGTCACCACAGACATTTGTATTCACATTTCTGAGATATAAAAAAATATAGACTACACACTAGAGGAATGTCACTGTGTCATATTTTATGCAGGTAGTTATCAACAACAGGTCAATAATGAATATTCAGCTCCAGCAAATTGTGTTTGGTTCATAAAGAAACTTCAAAACAAGCATCATGTCCAACACTCTTTACTTGAACAACTTCTGAACACCAAAATATGTACTGAAATGTAACACGTCATGACTTTTTCCAGTACTAAATAACAACTCAGGACTGTGTTAATGGTTTAGATGAAGTACATATGACGTGAGGAGGCTATTCAGTTATGGTGACATGCATTCAGTCAGTTTGTCATTGACAATGACACTAGGATGGTAAGAAACAGAAGTTTGGAGATAGATTGAAAGCATGGATTTTCAAACAAAAAATCAAGCATATTTTTTTTTACTAGGCTACATCAACGATGAAAATAATTAACAGAAATCAAAATGAAACATTTAAAGTAAAGCAGTTTTAGAAATTACAAAGAAAACACACGCGCACTCACACACACGTACACACACACGCACACACACACAAACACACCACAAACACAATTCATTTAGACAGAAAGACTAGCATAACTGCGCAAGGACAAAGACGGCCTTCATTTTGAAAAGTTGGTGGATATATATTTATGAAATTAAACCTTTTAGAGTAATGCATGGTTGATATAACGTATTTGAATTTATGAAATTTGATGTCAGACTATAAATACGAGTTGAAAAATCTAAAACGCATCCCTACCTCAGGAGAGCCATCACTATCTCCAAAGGCATCAGCAAAGTCTGATGGACTTTTCCTCAGAGTCTGGTCAGCAGGCAGTGTGTTGTCATTGTAAGATGACACGAACTTAAAGTCACTGGTTCTTGAACCTGTTGTCAGGTAGGCGTCATAATTGTAAGTGCTGCGTAAAGTTCCTGTGCCGTCAACATCTGCGTAATTAGGAGGGAGATAAGCGCTGGGGATGGCAACTGCTCCATCAAACAACAGTCTGGGCTTTCTCCTGCGACAAAACCTCACACCCAGGATGATGATGATGAAGGTCAGGAAAAACGTCGACACAGACACCAGCGCGATGATCAGATAAGACGTCAGTTTGGAATTCTTCTCATCATAAGAAATGTCCTTCAGTTCTGGCACCTCAGCCAAGTTATCAGAAATCAGTAAATACATGGAACAGGTGGCAGACAGAGAGGGCTGTCCGTTATCTTTCACTGACACAATCAGGTTCTGTTTCATGCTGTCAGACTCGGAAATGTCCCGCTGTGTCCTGATCTCTCCGCTGTGGACACCAATAGTGAAAAGGCCCGGATCTGTGGATTTCACTATATCATAGGACAGCCAGGCGTTCTGTCCGGAGTCCGCGTCCACCGCTATCACTTTGGACACCAGAGAGCCTCCGTGTGCAGCTTTGGGGACCAGCTCGGTCATGAAGGAGTTGCCCTCCGGCCCGGGGTACAGTATCTGAGGAGAGTTGTCATTCACATCCGATATGAACACACTGACGGTCACGTTGCTGCTCAGCGGAGGAGAACCGTTGTCTCTGCCCATCACGTGGACTTTAAAACTCCTCAACTGTTCATAATCAAACGACCTCACAGCGTGGATCACCCCCGTGTCTCCGTTAACAGACACATAGGACGACACCGGGGCACCGTTCACCTCACCGGGTAACAGAGAATAAATCACTGTACCGTTTTGTCTCCAGTCGGGGTCTCGAGCACTAACGGAACATAAAGTGGAGCCAGGTTTGTTATTTTCACTCACATATGCGCTGTACGACTGTTTCTCAAACACAGGTGGGTTGTCGTTGATGTCTGCTACAGATAACTCAACAGTTTTAGAGGAGGACAGAGGTGGAGAGCCCTCGTCAGTGGCAGTGATTGTAATGTTGTAATCAGACACTACTTCACGGTCCAGTTGTCCTGTGGTCACCAGAGAATAATAGTTTTTAATAGAAGGAACCAACTTAAAAGGAGCGTTTTGTTGAATGGAGCAGCGGACCTGTCCGTTATTCTCAGAATCTCTATCCTGCACGTTAATGATGCCCACCTCTGTACCAGGTGACACATTCTCTGGTATAGGATTTGTCAGTGATTTCAGATTAATCACTGGAGCATTGTCATTAATATCAGTAACATCTATTATCACTTTGGCATAAGAAGTTAGCCCCAAACCATCTTTAGCTTTTACTCTCATTTCAAAAGAACTGCTTTCTTCAAAGTCAATCAAACCAGTTGCTCTAATTACTCCACTTTTAGAATCAATGAAAAACACATTTACATCGTCATCCGACACATGGCTTAAGTCAAATGTCACATCTCCGTTCACTCCTTCATCTGCGTCATTAGCACTAACAGTAATCACTAAAGTATCTGGAGGAGAGTTTTCAGGCAGACTGGCTTTATAAACGGCCTGGCTGAACACTGGGGCGTTATCATTAGCATCCAGCACAGTGACGTGTATCACTACAGTACCTGATCTCTGAGGAGAGCCACCATCTAAAGCTGTCAGAAGCAAATTAATCTCTTTTTGCATTTCTCGATCAAGTTTATTCTCTAGTACGAGTTCAACCTTGTTGCTGTCAACAGCGAGAATAAAGTTGTCGTTC